TCCATGACAGGAACACAGCATCTCATGCCACGATAAATGACGAAGCTGATGCTGGGCCTGAGCAGGTTCACATGACTTGGACCAAGGATAAGCTCCTCACGGAGCGGAATCGGAACCACGAGTGCAGTGCCAACATGGCCATGCGTGACTTGTTTAACATGAAACCGTACGTATACATTTATATACTCTGAACAAGGCTCAAAAACATTTGTATCTTAAGGGCTAAAACAAAACAGAGGTGAAGGTCTTGCAACATAGCCTCCGGTTTATTTCCAGGTTAGAGGAGCTTCAGGTCTTCTGGATGTACTGTACCATGATGTAACTGCATGTGCCCTGTAAGAGAGGCTTACACCATTTTGAATGAATTTGTTTGCCAAAGCATATAAAGCATTACAAGTTTCTGAAGTTGAAACCAGAATGCATACAGTACTGATAATACTACAAGATGGTGCCAAAGCCTCAGTGCAGGAGGATGGCATGTATAGTTGAAGTCGCAGTGCTAAATCTGACAGGGTGTGTGCATGGTGTGTGTGCATTCAGGCTGCATTTGGTGTGTGTGCACATGTGTGTACACGCCCAGCCACTTCAGGCTTAGTGCATGGCCAGACCTCCCAGACCACATAAACACTTTCATCCCATCCCGTCCATACTGTCGGTGTGTGGACTTCATCGGGGTCACCCCAGTACGTTGAGATATATGCTTAAGAAGTTTGTCATTAAATCAGTACATTGTAAATCTCACAGGTCCGGAAGCACTGGAGCCTCATCAGACACATGAAAAGGCTCAGTGGTATTTTGTGGGGTTTACTTCAGCCACCTTTGGGTGTCAAACAAGCAGTGTGGGACAGCTGGAAGCGTCTAAACCTGTTTCTGTTGTTCTGTCCCGTTTTCCTCCTTCTAGAGAGTGGGAGAGTCTGTAAGTCGCATTCTCTTTGCTCCAGGCTGTTTGTGTGTACACTGCTGCTGGAGGGCACTACAGCCTGTGCAGTGTCCTCCAGCTCATGTGCTTGTGCTGCTGTGTCTGTCCTCGTTTGTGTGACCTAATGTGCATGGGCTGCCTGAGAATACCTTGGTGTCCATTTAATTTGCATGTAATATTGACACGGTATTTGTACATGAAAAATGCTTTCCTTTCACCCTTTATCAAAGTATTATCAAACAAAGCAAATGTTAATTTGGCCTGGTATGAGAATATAAGTGTTTTCTTCTGCAGCAGAATGGAAAGCAGATTTTGTGAAATTACCTTGTATTAATAGCTTCTGCTAGTCGATGTCATGTGCTTTGTTACTTTGTGATCTAATGCTTGTAAAGATGATGATAAAAGAGGCACTTAAAGAGAGAGATGGTTTTTTGACAGTGGTAACCATTAAGAAACAGACAAGCAGTAATAAAATCACATCTTGTAGGGCTTTGGTCATTATAGTGCCTGCCCCATTTGTCTTTAAATGCAGCCTCTTTATTTCAAATGTAATACATTTCAGTTTACTCACTTGTGCTTGAAACTAACATAGAGCATGCTGTCACCAAAATGCCACTGTGCTTTTCTTTAGATGTACACAGTGTATTAGTGATGCTACAGTTTTTGTTCTATAAACAAGAGTGTCCTGTAAAAGGAACCTTGAATTTTTTTTTATATATTCAAAGAGAAAGGCAGAAGCAAACAGCCTGGATTACTAGACTGCTGCCATAGTGCCACAAACACGCACAGCATGTCGGTAGCGAAGGCACAGGTGTAACTAATAAACTGAATGATGGCTGGGTTCTACTGATCCACTGTCACACTGTCCTGTCTAACTGTGATGCTTTATAGAACAGAGCCATCACTGCTGTTATTAGTTACACCACGGCAAGTCTACAGGACCCTTGTAGACCCTTCTAGTTTTACATTTGGTGAAGACTACAGTGACACTAAGTACTGAAGAAGACCCACTGAGATAATATCATGACTCTTCATTTTATCACTAATGAAACTGAGGGTTTAGTTTAGTTCACTGAACAGCGTTTTGTTCACCGGCTCTCCTTTCACACTTTAAACTTCTTGTCAAACTAGGAACCAGACTAATGTTCGTCGGATGCACACAGCCATCAAGCTGAACGAGGTGGTGGTCAACAAGTCACAGGGAGCTCACCTGGTGCTGCTCAACATGCCTGGGCCACCTAGGAACAGAGGAGGAGATGAAAACTGTATCCTGAATCACTGTTACTCTGATCTGTGTGGTGAACTTTGACGTAACGGGTGGGAGGGTGTCACCACTGTTGGATTGAGGTTTGAGAGGGATGAAGTGTGTGGTGTACTGTGGCACTGTAACGCTCTCTGTATGTGTTGTACCTTGACCGGTGTCTTCTCAGACATGGAGTTCCTGGAGGTACTGCTCGAGGGTCTGAACCGGGTCCTCTTAGTGCGAGGAGGTGGCCGTGAAGTCATCACCATCTACTCTTAAAAAGAAAACTCACACACCCCACCCTGCCCTCACAGACTGTTGCCATAGATACCAGTCACTGGACAGTTTCATGGGGAGAAGCCTGATTGGGTTTTTATGAAGAGCAGAGGTTGTTGGAAGATGGGACCACTTCTGATTCCCAAGTAGCCTGAGGGATCTCAGGTTGAAGGAGGCAGCATTGAATCAGTTGACTGGCTGAGAGCGCGAGCACATGTCCAGAGAAAGGATATAAACACTTTGTTTTATTTAACTTTGAAAACATATTCTGTTGCATTTTTATATTCTTTCCCTCTTGCGTTGATTTCATGGAGTTCCTGGCACTTACACCACGAAGACAAGCCAACTGTGTGCTGTTGATATGAACCTCGCAGTTTTCATGTTGTCTGGTGCACAGGCTCAGGGAGCTGCAGAGTTTACTGGACCTGAAGAAACAAGATGACAGAAACAAGTAAACATGTACAGCAAGGCACAAAACCACCCTTCAGCACCCAAAACAAAACGTATACTGAATTTTTAAGATCAAATACAGTTTGGAGGTCTGTGGCCTCAGCCTCACCTGTTTTCAGCCTGGTTAGAAGCAGCTAAACATCGTGGCTAGGTTGTAGAGCCTTTAACGGTGCAGAATGAGGGTGGGGTCGTGTCTGCAGTTGAAAGGTTTTCCCTAAAGCAGAGTCGCTCTGTGGTTGTTTGCCTTGTCAGTGGTTTAGTGAAGGACCAGTCAGGAGGATGCTGAACATAGCCTGGATGTTGATACTTGATCGTTGGTCATTGTTTCCCACCTTTGAAGAATGCTGCTTTTTTTTAACAGGAAGATTGTCTGTAGTTAATATTCTAGTGCTCTTTGTGAGTTTTGTAGCATAACATGTTAAATGCACACATTTTTTATGGTGTCTGAAGTAATGCTCAGTTGGGAATGACTAGATTTTTTAAAAATTGATTGGCTGTTTGACAGCATACAATAGCTCAGTAAATTAGGAGATTGTCTTGTAAGTTTGCCTTCAGAATTGTTGGCATTTAGCAAAGTCTGCTTTTTAAAATGTTAATGCATAAACTGACAGCACTGTTGACTTTGCACTGCTGAACATTCAGCACTTTGTGTACTCATGCCGTTTTATCGCTTACAGTAGCTGTAGTTCTACATTCAAGTAAATAATTCACAACAAGTAGTTCCATACTATTTAATACCCATGTTTCAATGGTTTTATAATATTTTAACAAGCAACCATTTAGGATTGAGTCTCAGTCTGAGTAAGATAAGTTGTTATAAGCATGTGTAAGAGGAAAAGTGCCAAAATGACTATAAAATTAACTGTGGAAATGTTGCTAACAAGGACATACTGTAGCTGCTGCTTTTTCACTGACAATCTTTAAACTTTGGAAACCCTGAAAGTGCAACCATTTTTGTATGATAAATTTAATTGTTTCTGCCATAATTCCTTTTCAAATTCTACAAATGATTGACTGAGAATGCTACAAACATTGCAAATTCCAGGGCATTTCAAACCTGGTGTCGTGTTTTCCATGTTGTTCCCGAGGAGATGTGAACTTCTGATTGTTAGTTATGCAACATCTGTGTTTTGTTGTCGTTGATTTATGCCTACGTAATTATACAGTTGTGGTCTCTGTTGTGTTTAATGTTGTAACTGATCTTCTATTACTTTGTGTTAATTTTCAGCGTCATTTTTATGGAAGGAGGCAGAGAGAGGAAGTGCAGTATGTGTGAGGATGACAACAGTTCACCAGTAACACAACATGCATAGCACACAGGGTGATGAATTATCACTCACTATTGGATGTTTGAACTGTTTCAACTTGTTTACTCCGTTGTATATTTTAGCCACCAAAGACAAATACATAATTCTGTATTTATGTGTATAAGCTTAAAAAGGCCTACTTCTGAGTTTGACACATTGAAAGTTGTAAATTATTAAAATTTCTTTGTTTTTAAATTTCTTTACTGGACTGAATAAGAGTAGCTGTGCATAAGAGAAACATAAACCACATCCAGCTTTTACCAGGAGATACAAAGTAAAGAGAGCAGCAGTGTATGTTTCACAGCTCTAATGCCTGAGGTGACCGGAGAACGTTACCTATCTCTGGTGTCACTGAGGTTTGACTAAGGAAAAATAAAAATCCCTTCAATCACATCTGTTTCACTCCTGTTACTTATATTGGTGAGAGTAAAAATGAAGCCTCTTCTGTTTCTGCGAGTGTGAGTCTGTGTGTTGTCTAGCTCAGCTGGCAGGCCTCACTAGCTTGGACAGGAAGTCACCTGTGGGCCTACAGACAGCCTTGTTAATTGTATTTGTGCCTCTTTAATTAATTATTAAAAGTGCTGAAATAAACGAAAACCTCCTCATTGTAGTCACCAACTGATTGGCTTGACACAATCTGAGCGCAAAACCTGGCAATTAATGAAGTTAATTTCTATAAGAATGACATAAACCATTGCAACATACAATTCACATCTTGTTGTATGGTGAGAGGTCATAAGGAGAACTACTGTAGATTAATATTAAAGGGGTTCAAAAGAAAACCAGGTTGAGAAAACATCGCAATGAACTTAAGACCACAAAACTCTAAGAAACACAAAAAGTGTCTTGCTGGCATTCACAACAGGAGTGAAAGACACACACTGACTAATCCCTCCACTAGAGGGAAGCCTTGGCCTCCCTTCCCACAGTCCACATGCTGCAGCTTGAGGGCAGCCAGATACGTACTATGTATAAAGGTTTCTCTGTGACCAAAGTCAGACAGGTTCACATTTTTTTTAAATCTCTGCCAGAGATTCAGTTCCAATGCATGATGGTAAAGTGTTATGTTTACTGGCCTGCACTCACAACACACATCATCTCTCCTGTTGCTACCAGGTTTTCAGATGATCGTCCCGTCCCTCTGCTGTGGGAAATGTTGGCCTTCTCCTGGCCCATCTGCACCTCTCCTTTGATTTACTGGTCACATGGTGCCCAAACAAACCACAGCAGCATCTAATTCAGTCAGAGCAGATCCATGGCAGAGGAAAGGAGGGCGTGCATACCAAGGACTGTTAGAACATGATGAATTGTTAGTTCGTCCTGGAGCAGACCTTAGAGACATCACTATCAACTATCTTCACTATGCATTCATTATGCATGGAGCAGAGAAAAGTAGTGACTATTTATCTAGTTTATTAGTTTATTATTAGCAATATTATTTTAGTATTTAAAAAAAATCAAAGTTCCTCCCAAGCCCCTGTTGCTATAATTTTAGTAGGAAGTTTTGTAAAGCTGATTGCAGCAACACCCTGAACCTGAATCCTGTTACCAAATAATCTCAGCCTTCTAAAAGGCCCCAGCTTCTGGCTGCTTTGATTTTAGCAAGAAACTGCACTTTTTTAAAAATATATTTTTATTTATGTTCAGCTCTATGAACAGCCACATATGCTGTACAGAATTATTTGACGAGAACACCCTTGAGCGCTGCCCTCATATGATCTTTGACCTTTTTAAAGCCTAAAGAGTAGGTACGTAGGTAGGTTGGTTGCTTTTCATCATGTGCTCTGCACAGTGTCTTATCTGTTTGCTCTGATTTGCTGACCAAATCAGCAGGGGACACTCGATACTGACATTATGCACAAATTTGTGTCTGAGACTAAAATTCAAAGGCACAAAAATTAAAAATGGTGACTTCTCTCTACCGCTTTGGACAGGGAAAAAAAAAACGAATAAAAAAGTATAACAATGAATAACAGCTGTTACACAGCTGTGGAAAACAACAGTAAGCGAAGTACATGCAAAATGTCTAGTCATGTTACACTACTTGCATCTGTCTTTTCTTTTATATTTTTCAAAGTACCTCTTAAAGATAACCAAATTTAGATAATACAATGAGTAACATTTGCAGCTCTGTGAGCTCATGTTTATCATGTTCACCAGTATGTTCATATTCTAACAGCTAACTGCTAATTTGCAGTAAACACAAGGTCGCCTAGGGCTGAGACTATGACAGGTCATTAGTCAAAGTAGTGGAAACTTTAACATTTTGAGCTGATGGCACAGGGGATCTAAGTAATGACTAGTACTGCAGTACCAAACTGTGTGAAGTGTTTGTAGACTGAAGAGAAAGTGGATTCCTAATGTTGACTGTCTGGGCAACATTCAACAACCAGTGAGAAACCTAAAATACACTAGCCTACAGCAGATTACTTGTATTTATTTATTTATTGTATTTCTGGAGCCACTGTTAATCTGAAACAACACAGATACTTGCCTCTAGCTCTGAAGAAGACAAGTGCCAATCTGAAAATATTTTCCTTGTAAATATTAAAGCACACGAATAAACAGGATGTGATTTTTTTGACAGGATGTCGTAATCCAGTAGCTAACACGGTGCTAGCCTGCCCCCTCTCAGTGGGTTAACATGCTTAATTCTGTCCAGGGCCTGAGGGGTTAAACTGGGAGAGGGCGCAGTGACAAAGCGAAAGCGGATGTTGTTCAAGGTTGCTATTAAAATAAAGGTTTATATTATGTTGTACAGTTACTGTGCTTCTTCTAACATCAACGGTAGATCGATAGATTGCAATGTCAACATAATTCAAGCTGTCTTTAAAAATATAAAACAGAATTTATGTTTTCAGTTATTGTAATTCATTAGGCTATATAGCCTTTTGTTTTCCAAAACAATACACATAGTTAACTCTGTAGTATTTGTTCAGTCTATTGACTGGCACACGAATCTTTATTTTTTTTATTTTAGTGAAATCCCCATATATACAGTATTTTAAATAGAATATAACCTACACTGATGACGTAACGACCGCGGTTCTATTGGCGTAGACGCGCGCTGGTAAATCTTAGTTTGAAGATCCTGCGGGGCCTGGCGTCACCGCGTCCAGCTTTACAGTGCAGGTCGAAGCCGCAACATCAATAGCCATCTTCGGCATAATATCGCTGTTGTTGCGGGATCCTGTGGGCGGAGGACACAAGGCGTTTCTCTCCGTAAGAGTCTTTTTCTGGTTCATGGTTATTTCTGTTGTGTCCCCGGCTTCCTGTAAAGCGACGGACCTGCTAGAAAAGGACCAAGGCACCGTGGAAGGATGTGACATTCCCTTCACCGCTTGGCGCAGTCAGCGTACTGGCCGCTGTCAGACGTGATCGAAGCCTCGCCAGCTTTCCATCTGTTTGGATCATTTTCCGGGGTGAATAACAACATCAGAGCCCGAGCGGCGTGAGAATGAAGCAGCACGGGTGTTCCGCTGCAGGTGGATGGCCAACCTGAGGGTCCCGGCCGTCAAGCCGCCGCTGCAGCAGGAGCTCTGTCTTCACCCGGAGCTCTGAAAACCGCCAGACAGACCAAGTCAGAGAGGAAAACCTGAGCCATGCTTCCAGGGGTCGGCGTGTTCGGCACCAGCCTGACCGCAAGGGTGATCATTCCTCTGCTGAAGAACGAGGGCTTCGCAGTCAAAGCGCTGTGGGGCCGAACCCAGGAGGAGGCGGAGGAGCTCGCTAAGGAGATGAACGTACCGTTTTACACCAACCGGATCGACGACGTGCTGCTGCACCAGGATGTAGATCTGGTGTGCATCAACCTGCCGCCGCCCCTGACGCGACAGATCGCAGTCAAAACGTTGGGTGAGTCCTGCTGCTGCTGGGCAAGATAGATGCTGCGCCCTGTTGATGCTGGGGGGCTGCTGACATCGGGATTATGGAATGAAGTACACCTAGAGTCCTGTGCTATAGTTCAGAGGTGTGAGGTAGGACTGTGCAGTGGAGTAGGACAATGTATTGTTCATGGTATGGTACAGATCCGACCTTATGACCTTTACTGGCAGGATGCCAAAGAGAGATACTATCTTGTATTAATAAGACATCTATACATAATGCATAAAGCCATTATGAGGTCATGTTTAGGCATAATAAACATTCTAGAGATGTCCTCATGTGTACTGTCAAAGCTTATGGTGACACTGGGTTAAATCTGGGTGGTGACTCCCTCTGAAACTGTTTCCTTCAGCTGTATTAGTGAAACACACAGCAGTCCCAGAGAAGAGACCTGAATGCAGTAAAGGTGTGATGCACAAAGAGAGGTTGTTCTAGTTTAAATCTGGAGCAACGCATCTTGTTTTGGCATTGTGGAGATGCTGTGAAAAGGGGGGCAGAGACCACTGAGCTGTACTTCACACAGGCTTTATTTACGCCAGGGTTTGGCAGGAGAGCTCAGCTGGCAAAGACACCGTAGGTCAGATTTGTGGCTGGAACAACAAATGGGTCCAGAAATGTGCAAAACATCCAGGGAGGAAATTGTTCTACCTACTGTACCTTAACCACAAAACAACTGACAGAGTACAGTGGGACTATAACTGCATTAATATGTTGGTTACTTTTATAATTAATGAATTATAAGTTCATAAAATATTACAGTGAAAACAGCCAAATGTCCTCGAACTCAACGTAATGTGTCGTGTTTCTACATGATCTGATAAAGACCACAAGCCAAAACTGCTGGATGCTGAAGGCTTGCTTGCACATCTTAAAATCATATTGGTAGAGCTGTAGGAAGGGTTGCAACATCTCACACACAGCAGGAAGCAGAGATATCTGTGCAAAAATGTCAAGAAAAACAGGAATAAATTAACCAGAGGGTGTAAATATTGTTTAAAAACAGATGGAAAAAATACTAACAGTCGCATGAATGCATCACGGTGTTGGTTAGGATGTTAATGAAAGTTATGCATCTTCAGACCATTGTGTGGGAAGGTCCTGTCAGAGAGAGCAGAGCGTTGGAAAGTCAGTGTGAACCGATGGAACTCTACTGGGATAAAGTATTGGAACGACAACAGTGGTGTGTCCTATCAGGGTCGCAGAGGTGAGCAAGATGTATCTATTTTAAACCTTTATTTATTCAGGGTAGGTTCATTAAGAGGCCACCTCTGCCCAGTACAACCACGGACTGACCGGTTGACGACCAGAGCTGTGGTGGGTTAAGGGCTTTGCTTGGGGTGTTGATGATGAGGGTGGTACAAACGCTGCTTAATCCCACCGGCCCGGGGACTGAAGCGGCGAACTACTGGTCACAAGCTCGCCTGGGGGTGATAGGGGTTCTTGTTGCACATCTGAGAATGGTGTGATTTAATGTAGCTAATTTGGCAGGAGACTTTTAGAAGCAGAGTGACAGATGACACGTCCATAATCAAACTGCTGTACAATGCAGGGCTTGATGATAGGTTTGAACAGAACTGATAAAAAGTAGAGGTGATGCTCCTTTTGTCAGTCACATTCATGCCATTCGTTACACTCGTGGGGAGCACTGAGGCCCGGCGGCAACAGCAGCGCCTGCATCAGCACCAGCTGAACGTGTATATCAGGGACAGAGAACAAGTGTGTTACCTTGAAACAAGTCAGATATGTGTTACTACTAAGCTCTCTCTCACTGTAGCTGTCATGTGTGTCACCAGGCTATGTGACACAGAGCACAATGGAAACTAATTGTGTTTTTCACATAATAAACATGTCAGGTTTGAATAAAAAGTTGCCTTAAATATAACATTTTTCTGGTGCTTTATGAATGATATTGGTCAGATTAGTTTCATTAAATGTCATGCATGCGGCATGATATTTGCAGTTGTTTCTTGATCCGCCCCTGCTGTGACGCCCAGTGTAAACGTTCTGCCACTGTGGCTTCATTCATTTACCAAACTCAGTAAATTCTGTGGAGTGGCAGTAGACGGTGTTTTTCTACTTTATGCCTGCACCATTGTCAGTGGATACTCTGCATTCACACATCAGATCATAGGCTACACTAACACACAGGCAAACCCACAAAAGTCCCTTTATTGCTAGAAAGGAAATTCCTTTTTTTATCCCAGTTCACATTCCAGCATGTGACAGTTGCTCTGAAGAGCAACCGTGAGGATTGCAAAAGCCAGTTGGTCCTGAGCCAGAACCACCAGCCGTGTCCCAGTGAACTTGACTCCACCTGCACAACTTGTCAGTGCCCATTCTTCCTCTCTGTCCTCTGTGCTCATTGCCTCACAGCTTTGTTGTGTGCGCGCTGCCCAATCCTTTCTGTCCAGCTGGGTCCACTGCCATTTGCATTTTATTGGCTGACAAATATAAAACACTGTTCTGTCGAGCTTGGACTTGACTCAAAATACAGACTTTTGAGAGTGGAGTTCTGACTAATTTATTGAGACAGTTGCTTAAAAGCATTTACTGATGAGTACTAAATATTACACACATTTTGTTGTGTCTACAAAATGATGTAAGGCTACAAATGAATATTTTCCATATAACCTACCATTGTATATTTATTTTTCTAATTAATCACCAATTGTTGTGAAAAATCACCATGTCAAATTTCTCAGAGCCCATCTTTGCTCTATAATGATTTTCATGATTGTCTGCTTTACTTTGTCATGTGGACACTGATGAACCCAAGGTGCAGCCATGTTTCTGTTTGTCAAACCACTCAGTGGGTCGCTTGTGCAAGTAAGACCATTTCTCACCTGTGAACGTCCCTGTTGCTTGGTTTTGGCATTTCTTTCATTAGAACATCCAACAGTAGCACAACAATCTGTTGTTTGACCTGGCCAGAGCAGGCCAGAGCACAGTATGGCAGCTGGCGAGGTCCATCTTAGAAACCCCGACGCAGCACCAGAGCTGTTAGCTCTGACACAGTCCATGTCACAGTGAGCCGTGGTCAGTCTCCCCACTGTCCCCTGACCCTCCTGCGTAGCTGTGAGACACAGTGGTAATGTTATGAAATACAATTCATCAGTGTCACTATCAGCTGACCACTGAAATCATTTATTTGAGCCATCATTTCAGTCTGTTGCATCACTGACTGGTCTGGGACCAGAGCGACCAGCTGTGTCAAGTTGCAGAACTAAGTTCTTTTTCTGTCAGGATGTGTGAGCTGATAGTAACTGCCTGTGACTCACTTATCGCTTAACTCCTGAGCTCAGCTGATAAGTGTGATCAGACCTCTTTGTAGCAATGTGAACTTTGGCTCACCAGTAGTTTATATCTCTGGTTTTTCTGTCTTAGTCCATATTAACTTTAAAGGGAGCTCAGGGGAAACAAATGCCTAAACGCTGGTACAACCACATGCTCTACGTGTCGGAGGCTTGTCAAAATAAACCTGTACTCGTGTAAAAACCATAGAAAATATGAAAATAAGGAGGTCCAGTGGGTGGGAGGTAATGCACTTCTGTCCCAATACAGGAATTGGGTCCTAGCCAGTCTCCCCAGCATCTCGGTCCAGCATTCATATCCACAGTTTCACATACAGCATTTCCCTGTGTTCTCCACGTTGGGCTGGAGTTGTCGTCGGTGGCCGCCATTTCTTAGACACTGCTCGCTGCTACTTTCTGGTTGGTGCTTTATGTTTATCGTGCAGTATGGGCTCAGGTTTAGTGATCAGTGACCCTTTCTAGCTGCATACCCATCAGCGATCTCTAGTGCTGCTTCTAATGTTTGCCTCCACAGCAGGCCTGTATTAAGGCAGTGATTTTCTGTTTAGTTTGGTCACGGTTTTCTGTATCCAACTTTCTAACTTTCTGTTTATGGTTTCAGTATGTTGTTTGTTTTGGTTAGTGTTGCCTGTTCAGACAGCTTTATTTAGTTCTTGTTCTACCTCTTGGTTGTATGAGGAGTTCCTCCCCCTTTTCTTTTTCCACAAATTTCTTGTGATAATCCTGAGCTCTGAAAACAGCTGCTAATTTGACCTTTCTTTTTTTGTTTTTTTTTTTTGGTCCAAGTATGAAACATATGTTAATGAAGAAAAAAGTATATTTTAGCCAAAATCTCTGTTGGATCCTTTTGCTTGATGTCTGTTCATAGGTAAAACATGAAAATTAATCAGTTAAACTTAGATCTATTGAACATTGATCAATTAAATGTTAAAAAGTAGTGAAAGTGGCCTTTACAATATCCTAAAGTCCAAGATGAGATCTTCAGCTTGTTTTGTCACAAAGAGGCACAGTTTGTTACATACCACAGTGAAACTTCTACCACTTACTTCAATGTAACTTTCATTTCAATTTTTTTTCAATTAAATTTGAGACTATGCTCTTATTTTGGTAAGCTTGTGTTGCGCTAGAGTGGGAATCTGAGAGCTGAACTGAAATGCAACATGAGCCACAAGTTTCAGGTGCACTTTCTGTCCCTTTGTGCACTTGTGTTTTGAGAGTGGGAGGAGGAAGTGGTGGGAGAGGGGCCTTTCAGCTCAGCTCTGTGCGACCTGGAGAGTTTTACCATGACAAGTGACAGGCATGGAATTGGTGATTTTATGTAAAATCCCCATCACTGCCTTGTTCCATAATTTATAAGATTGTGAAATGAAAACAGTTCTGTTATTGTAAAGGTAAAAATATAACCCAAACCACAAGGGAGTTGACAAGATCCAGGAACACTGCAATAACAGCTGATCCCACATGACTACGAAATGTCAAAGAGCAAGATCAGTTCATCTGTCTAGACAAGTTACGCACAAACACACAGTGAACCAGAAAAAGCTGTTGAAACGCTTCCTTAAGTGTTTTAAAAGCGCATCTATAATATGATCTCTCGAGTCAGTAGTAGATTTGTCAGGTATCAGGTTAGTGTGTGCAGAGCCGCAGACGCCATCTCAA